ATATTCTTTTGTGAATTAAATAATTGCAAGAGTAATGGCCTGCACAAAGGGACCTTTACAAAGGAGACCCCATTCCAGGATCAACAGCTAGCTGTAAAGCTGTTGATAGCATAATTCCTGTAACTTCCCATCAAGGGTGCAGCCTTTGACAGGTAGGACTCAAAGAAAACTGCCACGTAATTGCTGTAGGAAACAAAACTTCTCACAAAATTGGTCACAATGAAAACCAAGTTCTTTCCACATAGCAAGATTCATCAGGAAACATTAAAAATTAATGTAGCATCAATGATAATCATGAAAAAAAATCTTTAATCTTAAAAAAAAAAATTGAAAATAACTCATAAATGAGTAAATTGTGAGTTTGGTTTTTTCCCCCTGTAGGAACAAAACTCCATAGATAGATTTGAAAGGTGCAAAATTCTTCAGAAGTTTCTTCTGTAAAAACTTTTGTATGCCACTTTTCTTAATCAGATAACAGTCACTTATTGACACTGAATATTAAGAATAAGATATTACAGCTCCCTTTCACAGGTCTAATACCGTTTTCATCGACGAAATGGAGTCATAAAAACCCCTATTTTGTCTCACATTTTATAATATGTGTATATGCACATGTATGTAGGAAAGCAGAGAGACTTGATGTAACTACAAAGTGTTTTTCAACAGCAAGATTAACCTAGTGAAAACAGCTATTACTCACATTTGTCTTCAGAAATATGACTTGGTATTCCTCACTGTTTTCATTTTCTCATTCAGCTTCCAAAATCCTTCTCAAATCCTTCCTCTAACCGTACATCTGTTTATTTGTTCACCCCAGAAGCACACCTTCGACTGTTTATTACCCAACCCCATCTTACCGTGGGCAGCACCCACTGCTTTTAACCTATAGTGCCTTTAGAACTTGGTAAGATTCTTTATGAAACTTGCCATGCTACCAATTTTTGTGTCAGAAAATTTGATTACTGATGCTTCTACATCCAGGAGGTCAGCAAAATAAAGCATTAAACTTCCCAGCAGGCCTTTACATACAGATGCGATGTATGTAGAGGCACAAAAGATGCTCCTGTAGAGGAAAAAGCAATTTGAAACACATCAGCACAGCTGAAACTTTTTAGGATGACACAACAAATGTGATTTCTGTTGCAGGTTCTTTAACAGGTGGGTAGACCTAGTTCGACAGAGCACCATCTGACAACCTTTGACAAACTTAGGGTCAATTCATTTTTTTCACCAGAAAATTAATGTAAAATATCATGATTTAGCATGGGATTTTCATAAAGGCATTTAAAGTAAAATAATGCATTTAACGTGACCCTGCTCCTTTGAGCTCTTACTGGAATAGCCTTATCCCTGAATTTGCCACTTAATTCTGTTGCCTGAAGAATTTCTAAAGAAATTTCAAAAACCAGTTCAGCCACACTGGAAGGAAGGGGTTTCTTTCCATTTCACAGATGGGAAAGGGAAGCATACAGGGGCTAGAAAGCCTTCTCAAGATGACATGGCAAAGAAAAGCAGGGACAGAGAGAGGGCTCAGGCTGTCTCATTCTGGCCCAGGGTTCCAAAGGCTCTACAACACATCAGCAAGAGAGGAGGCTTGTCTTATCTTAGCTCTGACTGACTTGGATTGCTATAGTGCCTAGCCATCATTTTCATACCAGGCAGCAGCCTCACCAGCAGAAAGCTCCCACTGAGATCAATGGGGAGCAGATTTCCATGAATCTTCTGAAGTTATGCACACACCATAAATGAGAGAAATGGAAAAACAAGGCCTGAGTCATGAAGTATCTATATGGAACCTTATCTTTTCTTACACAAATACAGGAGAACTGCATGGATATGTACCGGCTGAGCTTTCCCCCATTGGTACGGCTCAGTAAGAGAACAGGAGAGTTTGAATGCTGCAACTATCTATCACGCCTGAGGTCTTTGAAAGGTCACTTCTCCAGAACCCAGCTATTACCCATTTCTTGCTATTATTCATTTCTTTGCCACAAGTGACAAAATCAAAAAGCTGGTTTCACGTTAGGTGGACTGCCACAGTTTATACTCTGCTTCCACCATTTCCACTCCATATTCTTTTTCTTTAAAGCTTCCATATCTTTCCTGTGAAATCTCTCTATTTCTTGTTACAGAACAAAAGGCTTTTTACTGGAAAGGACCATATTCTTTCACTGAAGTTGTGCATACAGATTTCTATCTGTAGCTTCAGTGTAAAACAAGGCATATTTTATTGTAAGATCAACAATATTAAGGGGCTTGTTAAGCTGTTCAGTGACTACTCTGTATTTCCAATTGCCAAGTCTGTCACTTTTCCTTAATTTAGCCAGTGCAGAAATTATAGTCCAAAACCTATGTCTGAGAAGGGGCAAGTAATTCGTGAAGTAAATAATTTTCAGCTCCAGTATAACACAGCATTACTATAAACATGGGTCGTCTTTAAACCGTGCTGTTATTTTGTCTTTAGAAAACCTGACAGTTTCCACAAGGAGGACACCAAGGGATCGGCTGGTTTTTAGAGATCAGCAGATGGACAAATTAAAACATTACTCAAGGGAATAGTATAGCTTCCAGAGAGCAGGTAGAGAAGGACCATTTATTACAGCAAACCACAAAAGCCCAGTGTTGAAAACTCTGTAATCACAAACGTGTTGTTCAGGTGACCTGCCTCCTCATGGCCAGCAGTCAAGTCCTGCACATTGAGCAGGGAAGTGGTGCTGGAGATGCATGAGCATGGCTCTGCCAAAGCCAACTAACAAGGGCAATGGGCATGCCCGGGGAGCCAGGCTGCTGCTCTTCAGCTCAGCGTGCGATACCCTGGGAAGCAGGTTATTTATCCCCTGCTCACCCATGCCTGCCCAGAGCTGGCAAGGTTCAGCTGGCTTCTTTACAGAAACTCCTCCCACCAAATTCTTCTGAAAAAAGTCCTTCTAATGGAATTAGTATAAGGTGGTTGTCACACAGGAGAGGAAGAGCAGGAACAGCACATGGGTAGCTGCACCACGCAACATGCTCTCCACTGGAAGAAGCAAAATACCTATGGGCATTTTCCATTGCCTTTTAGCGTCTGTCTTATTGGGACAGACTGAAGGTCTGCCTATGCTAAAGGGAAAAGATAAATTTGATCATAACTGAATTTACAGAGTATGCAAATTATGGGTTTCAGGATTTGGTACAGGGTTGTTAACCTTTTGCAGAAAAAGGCAAAGACAGACAGATGCTCTACTGGAATAAGTGATACCATAGTTCAGTAACCAGGTTTTCTACCAGGGACAATGGCGATAGCAGTTTGTACACAGAGCATCTGGGCTGTTACTAGGGCCAGGATTCCCAGGGGCTGAAAGATCCCCAATTCAAGTAGTTTTGGAAGGTTAAAGCTACAAATCAGCAGCAGAGAAACAGCAGTAACCATAATAGGATGTTTATAAGACATCCTTTTAAGAATCTTATTTTTCGTTCTTGGAAATAACTGTTAGAATAATTTTAACTTTTTAAGCCCAATCCTCTGCTACATAGCAACTTTCTCATCACTACCAGAAGGCCACCAAAATAACACCTACCACATACCTTGTGGTTTTTGCTTTCAAAGCATTCACTGCTCAAGCGTTACAGTAATTACATGGCAGTTTATTTGCTGGGTTGCTAGATTTTTGAGTCTACAGATTAAAGCTACAAGTATCATGGCAACCTTCTCATGCTTAAAATAATTCTATATAATTAAAAGAATGTTACAGCCTTAGTTGATTTCCCACATCAAATCAGTTTCATCATCTTCAACCTGCCTGTTGAAGAAACAGCAAGTGACAACTGAGAACAGAAAACTGCACCCGAGACTTTTAGAACTCATTTGAGCTCAGGACCCTTTTGCATAGCCTTTTTGGTTTGTTTTTTTAAACCTGGAGTAGCCCAACTGCAAAACCAAAGATATTGTTTCTCTCTGATTCACCACTGAAAATCTGTCATTATATAGGGAGAATGCAGATAAAGATCTATTTTGCAGTTTTGGAAGACTATGTATAAAATCTAAACTATATGCACAGGTACACATAAGATTATTTTTCCAACTGCAATTTAATCTTAATTTCCTTTCTTTATATTCTGTTCAAAATAAGTCACCATACCAAGAGTTTATGCATCACATTTTAAACCAAAAGCGTTTGCAGGGGTTTAAAATGTACCATAGAAAATATATTTTCCCCATTACAGACCCTATATCCATTACAGATCCTATATCCCAAGATGAGAGTGCTGAAAATACTGCTAGTTAAACATATGTGTTCACAGTGTTCACATCAGCTGGGGGGAGGGGGGGAGAAATAAAAAAAAATATGCACACGGTTCCCTTTCACTCTCAGAGCTTGGCACAGTGAGAGATTTATTTTTTCATTGATTCTTTACACCCATCATAAGGTACTAAATTTGCTTGGGTGGAGACTCCTTTTCCTCAAGTTTCAGCCCAAAGTAAAAATTTTGCTGAAGGAAATGCATCAAACATAGTGAAAATGCTAACTCTACCTTTTGGGTTAATGCCAGGAAGCATATCACTGTGAAATTTAGTCCAAATGGAGAATAGTGTGAGGAAGCATGTGAAAAAAGAAATGGTAATAGTTATTGTGAAAATTAATTTTGAGAGAACAGTACTCAGCTTTAATAGAAAGTGTTTTCTGGGAATGGGTAGAGGCCATGTTGAACTTCCTTGCACAGCTATGTGACCCCTGCCAATCAATGTCAACACTTTATTAATATTTTACTGAAAAAGTGTGACACGAATCAAACTTCAGCTGTCTTGGTAGGTGTTGCTAAGCAACTTTGCTGCTTGTCTGAGAACTAGTTTTCACAGCAACCTTTCCTTCAAAGACCTGCGTCCACTTGAAACACTTTCCCCTTTGTCAATGAAGAACCCAGCAAGTTATATTCTACCCCTCCCTTTTTAGTTTCCCTCTCCAGCTCCCAGTTAAAAAGAAATCAATTTAATTGTGTCTGAAATTCTCCACTTTACTTACCATAATCACTGTCATAAAATACTATGAACTTCTGCCACCGCAGCTCAGTGACCAGTTTCAGCATGACATCATTGAGGCGGACGGGTGGTCGGGCAGCCAGCGTGTACTCCTCCTCCTCCAGGCTGGGGTTCAGGTGGCAGGCTGTGCGTGGGGAGCCTCCCGTGCTGCGCTGTACAAAAAGGTGTGGGATGTGCATGGCATCCGTCAGGGACTGCAGGGCGTTGGCCGAGGCACAACCAGTGGAGGTCACTAAGGCTAAGATCCCCAGGGTCATCAGGTCACAGGCTAGAGAAGGCAACAAATAAAGCAGGGTTAGAACAAGGTCAACAACTCCTTTGACCAACCCAGATGCTAAGAAGGGAACAGAATAGGCTCTACCCTTGCCATTAACACAGAGATGAAACGATTTATATTACAGCCTTTCAGAGTTAGGTCCTGTACCTTTACAGTAGGAGACAGTATCTGCGATCTGTACTGATAAGACAAAGTTGAGGACAGATAACATTACTACTGTCATTTCTTCAGACAGGAACCGATGCAGATGGAGATTATGGCCCTTGCTTCAGGTCATTCCTGGTGGAAGCAGGAACTGAACTCCCATCTTTTAAAACCCACTTTTCATGTCTTAATCTTTGTTGTGCACACTGGATGACGACTTCAGACAATAAAGAGCAATTTCGGTTTCAAGGATTTGTCTTACAGAAGAGTTTTGAAGGATTTTTAAATTGATGAAAAAACATTCACTCTGTGTCTCAGAGCAACAAAGAAACAAAGGCACTCGTTAGACCAAAGGCAACTAATGAATGACTGAACTATTATTAATAACACTGTAGCTGTCTTTAAAAGAGCTGGAAAAGCACGTACCATTGAAAAACACAGCATACACTTTGGAGCCCATCTACTTTGAGAATGAAGCATTAGGTGAGTTTGAAACACAGGCTGCGCAGGTTGGGCAGAGCCCTGGGCAGCCTCGCTCTGCAGCCCAGGACATCCCTCCAGCAGCCTCTCACACGGCTCGCTCTTCCCAGGACGCCTCCAGGCAAGACAACCTGATATTCAGCTGGGGTTGGAACATGTTTCCAGCCAAGGACCCCAGCTATAACGCAGCAGCTATTTAGCCAGTGGTGGTGCCAAGATTGTGTAAGACTACAGGGCAGCTGTTCACTCCCATTTTTACCAACCCTCTTGAATAAGCGGCAGCAAAGCTGGCCCCTGGGAGCTCAGCACAGCAAGCACTCACAGGTGTCCTGGTTTCAGCTGGGATAGAGTTAATTTTCTTCCTAGTAGCTGGCATAGCGCTGTGTTTTGGATTTAGGGTGAGAAGAATGTGGATCACACACCAATGGTTTAGTTGTTGCTGAGCAGGGCTTACACCAGGCAAGGGCTTTTCAGCTTCCCCTGCTCTGCCAGGGGCACAAGGAGCTGGGAGGGGGCACAGCCAGGACAGCTGACCCCAACTGGCCCAAGGGCTACTCCAGACCACAGGACATCGTGCTCGGAGGGAGTTAGTTGGGACAAGAGCGATCACTGCTCGGAACGGGCTGGGCATCAGTCAACAGGTGGTGAGCAACTGCATTGTGCATCACTTGTTTTGTATATTCTGTATATTCTAGTACCACTATCATTGTTATTCTTTTCTTTTATTAAACTATCTTTATCTCAACTCATGGGTTGTACTTTTTCTTTTGATTCTCTCCCCCATCCCACCGTGGGGGGAGTGAGCAAGCGATTGCGTGGTGCTGAGTTGCTGGCTGGGGTTAAACCACAACAACAAGTTAGCACTGCCCCAACCCTGAGGATCCCCGTCCCGCTCCTCTCCGCCTTTGGGCAAGCACAGGGTTTCAGTAGCTGTTTCAGCCCCCGAGCAACCACCTGCCCAAGCACAGCCTGCCCAAAGGAAACCACAGCTGCTCTGCTTCCCTGGGACAGAGATCTGCCATGATTATGCCAGGCAGGAGGCAACTGCAGATGCTCCACTGTCCTGCTGCAGTCTATGAGAGCTTGCTAACAGCAGATAGGGGAAAGAGCCTCTCCGTTGTAACTCAGAGCTCCTCCGGGACAAGCAGAGCAGCTGAGCAGGAAACTCAGCTCCCAGCTGGAGAGGGGAGGCTGCCGGCCGGTGCCTCCCCCCAGACAAGGTGACTGCCTGGACACACGAGAGCGCTGGCTGCCCACGCACGGCACCCGCTGGGGGGCTGCCGGGGCATGAGCCGGGCCTGGTAAGGCAGGGGAGACGCTGCCACCCTGTTGGCGACCCGCTGCCTCGCCTCTCCGGTGGAAACGGGATGAGCGGAAAGGTCCAAAAATGAGCACAATGTCATGAAGGGATTTATTTTTCCTCCTCTAAACACTTTTATCTCCACTTTCAGAAGCCAAAAAGTCAAAGGGACTGGACAGGTTATGAATAATTAATAGCAATTAACAGTTAATTATCAATTAATATTAATTACACAAACCCACAGTAATTAAATACATAAAACTGTTTCTAATGCAACCAATGAACCATTTCACCAAATATCTTCTTAGACCAGCCAGAAAATAAATGCATTTCACTTTGATATGGGATAACAGAAAGAAAATGTTTGATTTTCTCTATGCACAGAACATTCAACATGTATCCTTGTGCAACAGAGAAAGATGAAGTGCTTTTAAAATTATTTCCTTGATGGTCTTTACAATAAACATATGTCAGCTACATTATCTAAATTTACTCTGTGTTGATTATAGTTATATGAAATTGTTCTTTGTTTTTCCTGTGAGCTGACCTGATTTAACAGCAGGGAGGCATTACATTTGCCAAATGGGAGACCCAGGTTTGGGAACAGATTTGATTTCCCAGGCTTCTTGCCAGAGAAAACTGAACATGTCATACAGGTAATTTATTTAGTCACAGTAGGGGAGGGAACAGAGGGAGAGAACAGCAGAGCTGAGCTGTAAACCCCTGCCGAGATCACCAGCCAGCGAGCTTTGCTGTCACGGAGGGCGAGGGAGGCAAGGAACGCGGGTCTCTAGAAGGAACAATTTACTTGCAAAGCAGACAGAAGGAGAGAAAACACAAAGCCCTTTTTTCTGATGGGATGCTGCATTCAGACAGTCACTGATTTGTGGAATGTAGAGCTGATCACCAGTTGTATAACGAGAGATAACTTCATTCAGCGGTTGACACTAATCAAAAGCAGCTCACTTATTAGCAGCAGAAAGTCCAGAGCTACAGCAGACCACAGCAAATGGCCCCCTTATCTCCCAGCACAGCCCACCAGACAGCTGAAATATCTCAGCAAAGACTGCTTTGGCTGAGGCATTTTCCCAGTGTTTTGTAGTTTGTGTCAATGGGTTAAAATGAAGAATTAGTCAATAGGCTTTTACATTCTGATATTTTGTCAATTGATTATGTTCTGCCTGAAAGCATATGCTACGCAGGAAGCGTTATCTTCTCTTGCCTCTCTGTTTTGAGACAGTATAGCAGGCAATAAAAAGCTAGAATGACTAAGGAAAAAAGGTTTCGTATTTTCTGAATTGCTTTCTTTAGTCAAATTACAGAATGTGAAACAGAACGTGTCATATTTCTAATAGAAGGCTTTCATTATCTAAAAATACAATGGATTCCAAGAAGTTCAACCTCTCCACACTTATTACACTGAAGGGTGAGAATAAGCCTTTAGCACATAAAGAAGAAAAGTATTACTTTCTACATGAGTAACACAATGGGGAACAACTATATAGCAGACTCCAATTGATTAAAAAACTCATTAACTCTTAAGGCATCTCGAAATTCCTTAGCAAGAGAATCTTCGAGGATTATACAAACCCAGAAGAGAAGTCTGGTGACAATTTTTTTAGGATTTCCCCCCACATACCTCTACTTTCTTGCATACAAAATTTTGACATGAGGAAACGTGCAATTTTCTGTTTTACTTCACACTAGCTATGGATTTTCAGCAACAATCAAGCATCCCTGACTACATGATTGAGTAAATCACTAATTCTGTATGGCGGTTGCAGCTTCATAAGCACTCAAAAGAACCTGCAATTTTGCACATGGATTTCAAAATCCCAATCTCGATTTCCTTAAAGCCGAAATACAGAGATTTGAAGTGCCTCGGTTTGTGTCAATCTACTAACATAAGGGAAAGGGGAATCAAAACACCTTGAGATCTTTAGCGATCTTTAATTACTATAGCTGTAGTTATAACAATTTCATATTGTTATAACTAAGATGCTTTCACATTTATTTCACCTGTATCTATATTTACATACATAAGTTTCAAGAAATAATGGTTTAAAGTATTTGTTCCACAGCTAAAAAAAAAAATTCTAGGAGCCCTGCCTCCAGATTTCACCACTGTATGAATAGCAACAGGTATTAGTATACTGTACTGAATGCCTCCATCACCATCAGGCTGCAATTTAAGAGGATACCAACATCCTACAAACCATACAGTAAGAAATGTGTATGTTAACATGATAAAAACATGAACACCAGCATACCTAAAGAATAAATCTGCATTCATCTATTTGAGCAGATTAAATTACTTCATGGTAGCTGTTCATCAGTGTTGGCCTCCATCAACAGACCATCTCTCAAGCTTACACTTGGATTTCATTGAAGTTTCCCAAATTATTGACTAATCCAGTTTTTAGTTGTTTCAGTGAAGTATTTCTGCTAACCTGTTCTTTTGAAGTCTGTTTTCACAAACTCCGCTTTCCACACCTGCTTGACATTTTACATCTTGAACTGTTATTTCCATGAGTGTTTCACGAGACGCTGTCTACTCTCTTCTCCATCTGTTGCCTTGGGTTTTTCCATTTAGATTCTCCATGTTATCTCTGCCATGATGTTGGCAGAAGTAACCCGAGTTAATGTATTTTGTGAATCTTCTAACACCCATTTGTCTAACTTGACTCTTACATCATAGCAATGCATACTACTTTTCTCTCATTCTGTGTCCTGCATCTCTAACTCCAGTCATATCCCCTTAAGACCACACTTAAGCCTGGAAGAGCAGCTATTATTTTTCAGACCGCACCTTATCCATATGACCTTTTTAATCAGTGGGACTCCTCACAGGACAGGAGATGATGCAAGAATTCTGCTTTGCTACAATAATGTTGAAGGTCTTGCTCTTCCACCATTGCCTCATGTATTGCCATCCTGTTTCTGAAGACAGGTGCAGATGGCAAAGTCCTGATTTGGCACCATCTTCATAGGGATATTTGCATTAAGAGCTTTAGCTCAGATCTCTCTGTAATTAAATCCCTCTCTCTCCAAACTGCAGG